AATATAACAGCTTCAAACGCTCCACTAGTTGAATTGAAAGATATTTTAGTTTTGCTGAAATTAAATTATAGTATGTATTAAAAAAAAATTGAATAACATGTCTTATATATGGAGTGTATATTGTCAAATGAAAATTGTAGTTATATCAAAATGATAATTTAGTTGTATACTTGTATTGTAATGAAAATACAGCGTATATAAAATGAAACTGAATAACAGTTTCATATATTTGAGTATATATTGTCCAATGAAACTGTAGTTGAATTTGAATTATAAGTTAGTGGTGTTGTAATAAGACTATAGTTTGTATAAAATGAAAGGGTAAATGGCACTTTTTCCCCCTGAGTTATATACCTATAGCATTTTCTCCCCCTGAATTATTGAAGTGGCTGTTTTTCCCCCTGAAATGTTAAATGGACATATTCACCCATAATTTGGTTCAAACCAAACAAACACTATAGCAACCAAACTGAAATATTCCAATTACAATTTAGAATCGAAACCCAATATTTAGAGTTTATTAAAATCGTGAACCGGAACAGACGGTTCATGTTTCGAACTGAAAAAATAAAATACATTTATTGTTGAATTTAGACTATTTTAAAATAAAAAATAAAATTTTAAAATAAAGACGGTTCAAAATCGCGAACCGGATCCGGAACCGCCAGTTCACGGTTCAAGATTCAATTTTTTTGATACATAATTTTAATAAATTGACATCTAAATATTGGGTTCTAGATCTGAATCATAACCGAAAACTTTTAATTCGATTGCTTTAGTGTCCGGCTCAGTTCAAACCGAACCGTGGTCATCCCTACGTATACGCAATAATTTGTTGGAGAAGTAAAATAAATAAAATGTTTACTTTAAGGGTAGAAATGTCAATTTAATATATCAGGGGGAAAAAGCACCACTTTTTAAATAATTGAGGGGGCTAATGTGCTTACCTAAATAATTGAGGGGGAAAAAGTGCTATAAGTATATAACTCAGGGGGAAAAAGTGTCATTTTTTAATAACAGCTCTCATTGTAATAAGACTATTGTATGTATAATGTCAAATGAAACTCTAGTTGTGCTGAAATGAAACTACAATGTATATAAAATGAAAATTGAATATGTTATACAAACAGAACTAATTATACAATATGTCGTTTCTTTTCATTAAAAGAAACGACACCGTTTTGGACTATGCATGGTCCAAAGTAAAATTTGCCCCTAATAAGTCGCTGAGTTATTACGATTTACTCATCAATTGTCCTAGCAAACCAAGATAAAGAGGTCCTGAGGGCGAGAAAATTTAACCTTTTATGGGCAAGTAAAATTTTATCAAAAAAATAAGGATAAAAGAAATATTAATATCAAATATAGTAATTAAAGAATATTGCTATATGTTTTTTTTTAAAAAAAAAAGGGAATATTGCTATATTTTAATTTAGAAATTGAAATCTTGACCGAATAAAAAACTTAACCTTGCATTTAATGTCCATAATAAAATTTTGTATACGTAATAAAGTTTTACCAAAAATAAAAAGAACAACCAATTTTCAATAACAAAACGCTGTACTAACTTAGTATTCACAATTCACAATATATTAATAGCTAGGCACAAAATTTCGGTGGGTAAGTAAAATTTTATCAAAAGAAAAAGGAAAAAAGAAATTGAATGCACATTAACTATAAAAGTTTATATGTAATATTAATATAAAATAATAATTAAAGAATATTGCTATATTTTACTTTTAGAAATTGAAATCTTGACCAAATAAAAAACTTTAACATTGCATTTAACGTCCATAAAAGAATTTTTATACGTAATAAAGTTTTACCAAACTAAAAGAACGATCAAGTTTCAATAACAAAACACTATACTAAGTTAATATTCACACGACAAGCACCTTGTACTCAGATGGCATGTAGTGACCTCTCTCATGTGGGCGGTCATGAGAATGAGCTCAGTGGAGGCGTTGAGAAAGTATGTTTGGGAGTCAGTAGCATTAAAAAAAAGGCTTTTTAAATTTTAGCATTTTAGAGTTACAAAAGGTTAATTAACCAAACACTTATATTAATTTTTTAACCAAGTTAAACAATTAATAGTGATTAAATAAGCTAAAATTGACTGATAGGCTAACTATTTTATCAAAGAGGCCACAATATATTTAATAGCCACAAATATATATATATATATATATATATATATATATATATATATATATATATATATATATATATATATATATATTTATTTATTTATTTATTTATTTATTTATTATTTCCTTTTACTTTTTTATAATAAAAAAAATCGTGTCACCATTTTTTTTTTTGAGAAAATTATAATTTATGCCCCTCACATATATTGCCATCTCCTAATAGGACGAAGGAAAAACATTATTGTCGGCCGAAGGAGAACGAACGAAGAAAGAAAAATGGAGGACAAAAAATGTGATCTTTAAATAGGAAAAACGACAAGTAACCATATTTACATAATTAATAATTCAGGAGATGAACAATATATTTCACGTTTTGAAAATTAAGAAACAATATTTACACCACTAATAATTCATGAATAACATTAAAAATTGAGTACATAACATTGATAAATTACAATTTCCCCTTTTTTTCCTTTCTTTTCTTTTTCTAATAAAAGCACTTTTTTTGGGAGGATCTATGCGGAATACCAATTATAAGACGTTGGTTACAGACGGCCACGCATTGAGATTCTTTCAGATTACAGTGAGATTCCCTTCCTCCGATAAGGAATCTAATTTCACATATTAATTAATAGTAATTAACAAATAAACAAAATTGGAAATTGGAAAATCATACGATAATTAGTCGCAGGTAGGAATAATATAATTAAATTGTCGTCCGACGACATACCATGATTCATATATTAACAGCCAAACATGTTTCATTAGAAATCAAACATGTTATCATGAATTAGTCACGTAAAAGGAAGTCTAAGAATTTCAATAGTTTCTTGTTTCTTACTCCTACTTAATTAGTCACATAATTGCAATTGGGAATGATGTAAAGCTTATTTGGTGGGTAGCTTTAGAGGGGTTTTAACCACATATTGTACTAAGAGAACAACCAATTTTCAATTACAAAACATTGATCTGGTTAAGACTATGTACCGAGACTAATGTTATTAGGGTGGTGCTTGCACTCCTTTATGGGTGACAACGTTAATCGGATTTAGCACAACTGGAAATTTAACGGAAAGACTTAAATATAATTGACAGACAATAAAATCGATGATTGTATTGTTTCAAGTGTTCAAAATCAATTTAGAGTGTGTAACATGATTAAGTATATAACATGAGAGTGTGGTTGAGTGGAGAAGACTCATCCATTCTTATCCAAATGTCAAAAGTTCGATCTAACTATCCCACCTAATAGAGGTGTCTACAATTCAGCGAGAGAAATAGTCACTATGTTCGACGGTGAAAACCATGGATTACACCCAAAAAACACAATGATTAAGTATATAAGCTTGTTACAATTAAAAGTGTGTCATATTAGCCTATAGGCTAATAATAACCGAAACAATAGCTAGTAATTGCTTGTATTAACTACGAATGCATAGGCTCTCATACTAATAAGTGTTTGCATTAACTCTCGTCTTCTGATTGCCCTGAATTCTTTGACTTTTTAATTATTGCGGTAATACTTTGGGTTGGACCTACCCGATATCCCATGTACTTATCCAATTATGCGTCAAATGAATTTTAAGACAGTTACATTCATAAACTCAAACCTAAAACCTTTAGTAAGTTGGAAGAAATTCATTTCATCTCATCCCAAAGATTTTAATTTATCATTTTTTTTGTACGTAAACAACAATGATTGACATGTAAAAATTAAAGACTAGTTGAGGTATCAGAATCTTTATGATATTCAATCTTATCTTATTGATTAATGCTAAAATCAAATTTAAATATTTCTTCAATAGTTTTAAAATTGTGTACGTGGTTGAATGGTGCATATCCTTGATTTTTCCAAACGTGATTTCCATGTAGTGTTTAGTACCTCGATGGCAAGGATATGTGGATATATATGAATCTTAAAAATGTGGCATTGTCAATAATTAATGAGCAAATGATAATGTAAGGAAAAATAGATTAACATATACATATATACATCACAACCACCATCATTATCAACATAAATAGGTTTAATAATAATGAACAAAAAAAATCAAATCTTTCAATTATTTTGATGGTTATGTAAAACTTAAATTTCTTTGATAAATTTTATGTGTTTTACCTTTGTATTGGGCTGTTTTTAGGTTTTTCATTTTTCCTCCATTAGCTTTGAAGAAAATCTTGTAATTTATGTCATCGGCACCATCTAATCCTCTCAATTTGTAAATAAACAGGTTGTCAACATCAATCTAATAAGTTATTTTGGCGTACACGTTTGACCCCACAATACACAACGTCACAACTAGTCCACTCTCTTAATCATCCCGTCTCAATTTGTAAATAAACAGGTTGTCAACAGTAATTTAATAAGTTATTTTGGTGTACGTGTTAGACCCCACAATACATAACGTCACAACTAGTCCACTCTCTTAATCATCCCGTCTCAATTTGTAAATAAACAGGTTGTCAACAGTAATTTAATAAGTTATTTTGGCGTACGTGTTAGACCCCACAATACACAACGTCACAACTAACCCACCCTCAAAACCATCCCGTCAACACAGAAATTAGCTTTTTTAGTTGATGTAATAATATAACATTATATATTTCTTTTAAAAAAAATACTATGTTATCTTCTTTCCTTTTTGCTATTTATGAATTAGTAAAATACGTTATGTATTAAAAAAGAATTCACATATTAAAAAAAAAAATTCACAGAAATTTGGTCAAAAGAGTCATCATATTTAAGTGCCAAGGTCCAAGTATTTAGGAAAGAGGCCATAAGGGAAAGAAGAAAGGAAAAAGATTTTTTTTTAAAATAATAATAATAATAATAATAATAATAATAATAATAATAATAATAATAAAACAAAAAATATAGTATTTAAGCTACATCCTCCAAGAAAGAGCGATCAAGAACTTTCCAACTAACTCACAATGGACCTGGAGGCAGGGAGTTTATCTCCGCCACCACTTGCGGCGGCGGCGGCGGCCAACACTGGACGGTCTCCGGTGTCGCGTCTCAATTCCTTTGTAGAGAGAAGTCCAGTTGGCAAGCGTTTCAAACTCAAGGAGCGGAACACCACCTTCACCACCGAGCTCCGCGCCGGCACTGCCACCTTCCTCACCATGGCCTACATCCTCGCCGTGAACGCTTCCATCCTGTCCGATTCCGGCGGCACGTGCTCCGTCTCCGACTGCCTCGCCCTCTGCGGCGGCGACCCCACTGTCCCGCTCTCTAACTGCACTCAAATCGTGTCTCCCGACGAGTCCTGCAAGTTCAACCCCGTCAACCCCGGCTACGCCGCCTGTCTCGAGAAAACGCGGAAGGATCTGATCGTCGCCACCGTGGCGTCGTCCTTGATCGGTTGCGTGATTATGGGCGTGTTCGCGAATTTGCCGCTGGCATTAGCGCCCGGAATGGGCGCCAACGCGTATTTCGCGTACACCGTCGTCGGTTTCCATGGCTCCGGCAACCTGTCATATCAAAGCGCGCTCGCCGCCATTTTCATCGAAGGGCTCATATTCCTCCTGATCTCCGCGTTCGGTTTACGCGCTCGCCTGGCGAAAATGGTCCCCAAGCCCGTCAGAATCTCCTCCTCCGCCGGCATTGGCCTTTTCTTAGCCTTTATCGGCCTGCAAAACAATCAAGGGATCGGCCTCGTCGGCTTCAGCCCCTCCACGCTAGTCACGCTCGGAGCCTGCCCTCGCGACGGCGCACGTGCGGCGCTAGCGCAGGTCACAACCGCCGCGAACGGCACCGTTTCATTAGTCCCCGGCGGCACCGTCTCCGGCGATATCCTCTGCTTGCATGGCCGCATGGAAAGCGCGACTTTCTGGCTCGGAGTGGTAGGATTTGTAATTATCGCGTATTGTATGGTTAAAAACATAAAGGGCGCCATGATTTACGGCGTGATTTTCGTAACCGCCGTATCTTGGTTCCGGCATACCAGAGTAACCGCCTTCCCCGATACTCCCGCCGGGGATTCCGCCTATGAGTATTTCAAAAAAGTCGTCGACGTTCACAAAATCGAAAGCACCGCCGGAGCTCTGAGCTTCAAGAGCATCGGAAAAGGATTCTTCTGGGAAGCTCTGGTGACTTTCCTCTACGTCGACATTCTGGACACCACCGGGACTCTATATTCAATGGCGCGCTTCGCCGGCTTCACCGACGCCAACGGCGACTTCGAGGGGCAGTACTTCGCGTTCATGTCCGACGCGTCGGCGATTGTGATCGGATCGCTTCTCGGCACCTCGCCGGTGACGGCGTTCATAGAATCCTCGACGGGAATCCGGGAAGGCGGCCGGACGGGGCTGACGGCGCTGACCGCCGCGTGGTACTTCTTCCTCGCCTTCTTCTTCACCCCGCTGCTCGCCTCCATCCCGCCGTGGGCGGTGGGGCCGCCGCTGATACTCGTCGGCGTTCTGATGATGCGGGCGGTGACGGAGATCGAGTGGGGCGACATGCGGCAGGCGATTCCGGCGTTCATAACGCTAATCTTGATGCCGTTGACTTACTCCATCGCCTACGGGTTGATCGGCGGCATTGGAACTTTCATTATTTTGCACTTGTGGGACTGGATCGCGGGGTGGATGAGGAAATACAGAACAATTGAGGGGCCAACTAGCAATAATGTGAATTTGGATAATGGTGTCAAGTAGCTTAATATAATGATGGATGATGCTAAACAAAATTCTTGTTGATATGATTGATAAGCTAAGGTAAAGGGTCACCAATGTTTCTTTCATAGGAGCTTTCTTTTGTCCTTATTCCTTAGTACAGTGTTACAATGATGGGATTATTAGGAGAGAGTGGCTTATTATAAATTTAATTAGGATATATTATTATCATTATTACAATGTTGGTTGTATATACACATTTTTACCTTAATGAGTATTTTGGTTCCACCCAAAATACCATTTGGAATGACCCCCCAATCTCCGATTCGCAACAAATTAAATGGTTACGTCAACTTTGTCAATTTACATTAATAATAAAACAACTAGTGTTGTAAAGATAGGCCTAGGCGCCGACTAGGCACCTAATTCTTCTTAGTTGGTGCCCAACTCGATCGAGTGATATCTTTTACGTGCTCGGTTGCTCCTCTTCTATATTTCTCTAGCCATGTACACTATTAAACATATATAATTCACAGTTCTAAGTAGGAAAAGTAGAGACAATATACTCAAATTACTCGATCACCAAGGAGATGCCTAGGTGCTAGGCGCCTCCGGGTGCCCGACTAGCGCCTAGGCACCTAGGCGCCTTCGGGCGCCCGACTAGCGCCTAGGCACCTAGGCGCCTTCGGGCGCCTGACTAGCGCCTAGGCACCTAGGCGCCTGACTAGCGCCTAGTGCCTTCTGCAACATTGAAAACAACTATAAGTAAGATGATAGTGTTGCACTAATAAAATCAGTCATGTATATTGAAGATCAGAACATGTAAATGTGACAACCTAAACAATTTGTGTTCCAAAACATTCAATTCTAAAGACGTGGGTGTAATTCTCATGACTTGTGGAAATTTTTGTCAAAGTAGTTCAAGTGTAGTAATCACCATTGTGGAAAATGCAGCAAATACGAGAGACGTTGTACCTAAAGACGCTCCATATATAGGTGCAGATTATTACGACCATCTTGTCAACATTCATAGGGATATTATTGTCTCAAAGGTGTGAGCTAGCTATCTTGGTACGTATTGAATTGTATACATTTGTAGCATTCCATATAACTAAATATTATAAATAATTTCATTTTACCAAAAGGTTACGAGTTCGATTATTTCCAACACATTCTCGGTTGAGTCTGCCACATAAATTGTTCTTAGTGAAATTTACCTTTCTTATGTGGTTTGTGAGTTATTTACATAGAAGTAGGGTTTACCTAGTACATACAAACCATTGGGTAGTGACTACTGGTTATAGGCCTTATATGAATACTTCATACTAAATTTTTTGGATATGTTTAAAATTAGATCAGAGGTCGAGTTTATATATAAATTACTTAATTTCATAAAATATTATAATCTTCATTTTAATTTTATTTATTTTATTGGCTATAACTCTATAAGTGAAGTCATGATCTCAACATTATCAACTAGAACTTGATGAAGCTTGGAATTGACATGCATAAATGCAAATTATGGAATATATATGTGTGTGTGACAATAATAATAGATGCAAGTGATGAGTTGTAGGTTATATTAATGGTAGTCACTATCAATTCATCTGCTATTGCCCATTGGAGCCCTCTTCATCTGAAACTCAGATATAATAGGGTCCATCCCTATTTGAACTCCTCAACTTGCCCATTCCAAATCATTGATTCCAATCTTAGTTTGCAAGTGGATTGTTTGTTGGTAAAGATATTTCAAATTCATTTATAACTATGCATTTGTCAAAAATAGAGATTACAATAACAAGCTATCGATGTCAATCATCTATATATTAGTTATGTACATAATAATATTTTAATCCAATTAACTATGATGTTGTAACTGGTACCCTAATCTGATTCTATCAATATAATAGTGAATGTCCTAGTATCCTAACATGATTCAGTTGTGAATTCTTTAATGGGTATTATATATACTCTAGTTCGATTCAAACAGTAGCGAACACTTTAGTACCTTAACCCGATTTAGTTGTGAATACTTTAATGGGTACTATATATATCTGAGCTTAATCCAATTCAAAAAGTAATTCGTAAAAACATCTCAAATTCGATCCATAATCAGTAAATCATTGGAATCAAAACGGGCAAATTAGAACGATGGATGATTGTCGTTATCCAAATAATGGACAAGAACCGAACATTGGCACTAAACATATATATACACAAGTGAAGTGATGTTCTTTGAGGAAAGATACCAAACTTTATAAGGCAAGGGAGTGGTGGTGTTTGGTTCGAGCAAGAAAGAACACGTGGTGTGTAGTGTTTGTAACATGAAGTTGTGTATATCCGAAATGTTTGGAAGGATTCTCGTTAGTTGTTGTTGATGAGGATTTATCAACTTAAAACTCGGAAGAGATAACGAGGAGCTGGTCACAGAATCAGTTCTTTGTCGGTCGTTGATGTGGCACCCCATTCATCCACTTACAATATATATATATATAATGTTCCAGTGAGGGGTTCCTTGTGTGCAGTGAGCACCAGTCTAGCTTCTGTGGTTTATGTTCAGTTGAGTTATCATGATTTACATCCTCCCAAATGCTCTGTTGGGTCGGGGTATGGGATCCATTAGGATTGAGGTTCCGCCTTTGGAAAAATAATAATGTTCTAGTGAAACAACATCTTTACGTGAGACTGTGAGACACAACACGAATACATGCAGTCTACTACAAGAATGCACATACACTAGATTGTGTGCGCTTATGTTAGACAAATTACACACTCTAATCTCTATACGTGCAATAGACTATATGTATTTATGATGTGTATCACGGGAAGATGTTGTCTCATTTGATTATATATATATATATATATATATATATATATATATATATATATATATAGAGAGAGAGAGAGAGTAATACACACACACATCATTTAATTTGCTAGCTACTCTCAACACACATATACTTTTGTTACCATCCTAACCTCGTCCGTGTATGAAAGATTTTAAAGGATTTGATCTCATGTTCGAGAGCTTTTTATCGTTGTATTTAATAAATAATTGATGGAGGAGATAAATTGTGAAATATGTCTTAACAGTTCACAAATTTATAAATGTTTTAATTTAGAACTGTGCACTATGTGATGACTAGAACAAAACTAAATTTACTATTTTTTTTATTTTTTTTTGTGAATTGGGCAACCATTTAAGATGTACTTTGGGAGGGGAGGGGGGAAGCGCCTTTACAGTAGGGTATATGAATAATTTTATAAATATGATGTTTGTAACTCTAAATGTTTGATAGTCACAATTAATAAAAATCTCTTTACTTTTCGTGGTATAGACTCTAAATTTTCATTTTTATTTTTTGTTCTTGATCTCATTTTTGTCAACAGATATTACATTGTAAGAACTCTTTCGGACTTAGTAAATTCCTTTTTATTATGAGGGAATTTTTATATATTAAATTCATCAAAGCCCTAAATGGCTAAATTATTATTATGGAGGCTTGGGTTCAGGCTTTTTAGTTTTGGTCCATGATCCATATCCATTGGAGTCGGCGGCGGCATTCATGAAATTGTCGCATAAATGTTCATGTGACCCATAACAAAAAAGTGTTGGAGAAATCAGAAATCCCATCAGAATTCCAGAGAAAAATGGGAGTTCTACATCTGGGCAATTCAATTGCTCCACGCTTCATCACTTCTTCACAAGAGACTCCATTGATTTTCTGTCCTCTGAGCAAAAGCAATGCCATTTATGCGCCTATTATTGTCAGGGTCGCGAGACAGCCCTCCAAATGGAACAAGATTTCTTCCAAATTGAGTGGGAGTGAAGTTGGGAAAGGGGTTTCGGGCAAGAACAAAATGGAGGAGTACAACGTAGCCATGAAGAGGATGATGAGGAACCCATACGAGTATCACCATGATCTGGGTAAGTGTTTTCTTCAAATCACTAATTTCTGGTAAAGCTGGTTTCTTTTTTTCAAATTGAGCAATCATCATCATTATCACATTGTTGATAGCTATTTCCTCAGACTGTGAAATGCCTTGATCTTGCTCTTGTGGCTTTGATTTGCTTTTTGTTTCCTCATATTTGGTTTAGTTCCCATGGCTTTTTGTGAGAATTGGACCCTTTTTGTTGCTTATACTATTGCTAGGCTTTTGTACTTCTAGATTCTTTTACAGCCTTTTTACTACTTTCAATGAATTTGTGATTTTTTTTCCTTTTTCTTTTTGGGATTGAAATTTTTCCTGTCACAGTTTTTGAGTGATGAGAGAAACCCACAATCACTAGTGTGCTAAACCCCGCCCTAGACCCTAGCTAGCAAAGGATCACAAGGAGCTAAATTAGTCTTAGATTGTCCATAGCTGATCGGCTCAAACCAAGACCAATAGGCTACTTCCACTACGAATCGAACTTGTAATCTTGTGGTTACCAAGTTAACAGTCTGACCAACTTGGTTGGATTGCCCTGGTGACACCCTTTTTGATTCTAGTGAATATGAAATTGAGATAGAATGGAATATTTGTGAGCCTTTCATTACTGGTGACCTCTAGTAAGGGGATGCCTAGCTGTTTGATGTAAAAATGGGAACTTTGTTATTAGATGTTAAGATGAAGTTGTAAACTATGGACAGCTAGCAAAGGAAAAGGGATCTGGGAGTCTGGGACCATTCATTACACTTTTTGATCAAGAATGCACTGTGTGGTGACTTAGAGTTTGTGGTTCTACCAGCCAAGCTTTTTGGACAAGTAAAGAGGAATATGTACATATGGTGGATGACTTTTACATCTGCCTTCATTTCATTAGTTGAAAATTAGATCGAGTCAACTCTCCTGGTAGGCTGGAACTAAGGCGTTGAGTGTGATAGATTCGGTTTTCTGTCTTTGTGGAATTCAATCATGTGATGTATAAATCTCCACGGTGGTATTGCATCTGAGGCCTCTTTGTAATACATTTTAGGATGGGTCTTGAAGCAATGGCAATTACTATGTGGTTTCTAAATCAACTGTTTGTTGAGCATATAGCCATTAATGTGCAATCTAACTATTAGCTTAAGCTTTTAGTTGATATGGAGCACATGCTTCAATTCTGTTAAGGTGTCTAGATGTTGAATTTGTGGCTATACGAGTCTTATAACTGGAAAGTGTTTTTTCCCAATGTGCATTACTGTATATGGATAATAGGTTGTGGTGTGCAGTTTATATGGATTGTTGTGATCTACAATGCTAATAGCGTGTTC